GAGTAGTGGCGCCCTGGTGGTGGAGTGGTTACACGTTGAGTGCCATCCGCATGGTTGGCAGTTTAAAACCACCAACAGCCCTGCAGGAAAAAGACTGGGATTTCTAGTTGCGTAAACAGTTGCAGACTAAGAAACCCAGAGGAGGTTGCGATGAGTCAGCATTGACTCCATGGCAGTGAGAGAATATAGGACAGAGTAGACACGCCCCATCGTGTTTCCAAGACTGGAAATCTTTACAGAAGCAGACCGCTCCGTGTTTCCCCCATTTGGGGGGTTCCAAATGGCTGACCTTTCCCTTTAGCTGCCAAGCACTTGAACAATGATGTCATCAGAGTGCCTCAGATGGCTCATTGACTTTCGCAAAAACAGTTTTCCTAACCTCTCCTTCTCTGCCACTAACATCATTCCCAGACACGAAACCTGTCATCTTTGACATCCATTCTTGACTTCACACCCACATTCTATCAATCACTTGGTCTTGTTGATCCTTAAAAAAAGTCTTGAATTTGTGAAATATTTTAAATGTACAGAAACGGGACAGAGAACACACACCTTGGGATTCACTGGCTGGCAAAGGGTTAACTATTGTTCACACTTGATGGATTGTAATCGTTCACTGTGTGGAGAGGGTTTCACCAAGTTCCTGGAAAAGTGGAATTTGAAGATGGTAGTACAGTTGGTTGTTCATTGCGCTGCTAACTGCAGGGTCAGCTGTTCAAAACCACCAGGCTCTCTGTAGGAGAAAGATGAGGCTTTCTGCCCCTTAAAGAGTCAGTCTGGGAAACCCACAAGAGCAGTTGTGTTCTGCCCTGTCGAGGTGCTGTGAGTTTGAATGGACTCAACGGCAGTGAGTCTGGAGTTGGGGGAGAGGTTTTCCACAAACCTTTTGAAGCTCCCTTGCATGTCCTTCCTGATTGTTAAAACAAATAAAGCATATGGATGCAGTTGCAGTCGCCTCTGTGGCTCGTCTCTGTCCTGTTCCCTGCTCTCCTATAGGAAACTGCTTGCAAAAGTCTAGGCATCTACTCCTGGTATAAGGGTATTTTTGGTTTTGTTTTGAAAAGATAAAATTTTTTTTTAATAATTTTGATTAATTAGGAGTTAATAAATATATCATTCCATAGTTCACTCATGTCTGGCAGAATTGTACAATTGCTACCATAATCAGTTTCTATTTTTAACGTTTTATATGTACTTTTTTTAGATTTTATACTCTACTACATATGCATTTATTCCAAAAAATGATAGATAGATTTGTTATTTTTTTAACATAATTGGTATATTGTACATTTTAGTCTACAGTTCCTTTTTTTATTTCACTGTTAAGGTTTGGGCTATTACTCATATTACCACATGCATGTCTAATTCCATCGTTTGAATTTGCCCATTCTCTTATTTACTTTGAGGTCATTTCCAATGTTTTGTTATTACAGACAATACTTTCCTGGCGATATTTTCTTGTGCAGACCTGTAAATGGTTTTGAAAAGTATTTGCTGAGTTTCTCATGGGGTAAGCACGTCAGAAGATAATATCCCTACTTATATGTTCACAGGTTCCTATGGGAAAGAGTAGTGAGAGATGCCTAGCCCAAGCTGGCCCAATGGCTAAATATATATGAAATATGTGTTTTCCTAGATACTATTTGTGTATCCAGCTCACATATTTTGAAAACTAGCTTCTCAGCATAGAGTAATAAAATTAATTTACCTCCAACAGTTTCATTGGCAAGTAATTTACACATCATATAACTCAATAGTTCAATTATTCAATGATATCAAGGAGAATTGTACAATCATCACCATATCAATTTTAGCGCATCCTTCCCCCCCTACCCTCGCCCTATGGTTAAATTGCCTTAAAGATGAGTTATGCAATCTCAATCCATTCTAGTGCTCTGTCCCCACTCCATCTTCATTATTTACTGCCCAAATCCCCCTTTCCCTCCCTATCACCCAGCCCCCACGCCGGTATTCCCTAGGTCCTCTCGTGCCAGTTCTTATCACTATGCATCCACTCCTCCTGTGCTGCACAGCTGGGTGAACAACAGAAAACAATAACAAACAAAATCGCACTAAGGCGGTAAGGATAAAAATGTAATAGTATACAGGCAAAGATACAAATAATGTGTAAGAAGGCACAGGGTTCCCAAAACATTCAAAAAACCAAGGGAGACATTTCTGTCCTGGAGCCAGTAACAGATACTTGCCCTAAGAACACATGCAGGTTGCGCCTATGGTCTGGTCAACCAACCAAGTATGGACTTTGATCCAGGATAGTCAAGATGACAATGGTCTCTGCCTAACAGTAAGGCTGTTTCAGACCCTTGCCTGCGGATCTGCCAGTGACAGTCTGACTCTGCAGATGAGTTTTGAGCTCCCACTGTCCCCCATACATAGCCCTCCACAAATTGGGTGTTCATAATTTTAGCTCTGATGCTTTTCTGCTCACCATGTTCAAATGCTGTAATTTGTCATCTTTAGATCACACAAGCTGGTGTGCTTCTTCTATGTGGACTTAGTTGACTCCTCACTTAGATGGCTGCTTGTTTGAATTCAAGCCTTTAAGACCCCAGACACTATTCCAATTGATAGCCAAAAGAGGCACCACCTGCTTTCTTCACCACACTTTGCTGTGGCACCCTTATCTTCAGGGATCATTTCATGAAGGCGAATATCGAACAGGGCCATGATGTAAGAATTGATTGTTCTTAAGTTTGAGTTGGGATTTAATGTGAGCCCAACACCCATTCCTGAATTTATGCCCCTCCCCACCACTTTTTGTTGTTGTTGCTAATACAATTGTGAGCAGAGGTTTGTCTGAAATCTGTATTATATAAGCAAATGTGGTGAAGAAAGCTGATGGTGCTATCAAAAGATATAGCATCTGGGGTCTTAAAGGCTTGAAGGTAAACAAGCGGCCATCTAACTCAGAAGCAACAAAGCCTACATGGAAGAAGCACACCAGCCTGTGTGATCACAAGGTGCTAAAGGGATCAGTTATCAGGCATCAAAGAACAAAAAATCATATCGCTGTGTGCCCTCCCTGATGCGATCGCTGAAGACAAATGGGTGCATAAACAAATGTGACGAAGAAAGCTGATGGTGCCCGGCTATCGAAAGATATAGCATCTGGGGTCTTAAAGGCTTGAAGGTAAACAAGCGGCCATCTAGCTAGCTCAGAAGCAACAAAGCCCACATG